GGCCTGGCCGAGACACGGGGAGGGCGCACACTGGCCGGCCACGCGTCCCCCGAACGGATGGGAACCGTCTCGCGAAGGCAGCAGGAGAAATCCCCGCGCTTCCCTAGCCCTGGGAAAGGGATCACAGGATCCCTCGGGATGGCGCCTGTCCCACTAGGTCAAACACACACCTGCCCGGCTTTCTACAAGCTGGAAGCTACCCCTCCTCCCCCAGGTTGTCCTGAAAAGCCTATTAAATATTTCTGCATACCACAGCACCCCTTCACACACATTTGTGATAAACAAAACATCAATGATAGCAAAAACGCCTTTGATCACCTTTCAGTATAAAAACACTGGCAGAACCTCACAAAAACGGGATATTTCTCCATGCCGACCATTTCCCTGCAGAAGTTCTGCTTGACAAATCGCCGCTCTTGGCCTATTGCCCCTCCAAGCCTTTCCCCCGCACGCCTTTGTGCGGACTCCCCTAAAGCCAAACTTAGGCACCAAAAAGCCAAGCTTAGGCACCAAAATCAGCAGGCTGGTTCCCAGGCCACCAAAGCAAACCCCTCTGCTCATGCAAGGGCGAACAAGAGCAGCAGCAAACCCAGCCGCAATATTTGAGAGTATTTGTCGAGGCGTCGACATTCCCAAAGGAAAAAAAAAAAAAAAAGTCAGTAGCAAACACCGCTGAGAATAATAAACAGCATGGGGCGATCCCAGGGATTTTTGGTCTAAGATGCCTGGGGAACCCCTTCCCTCCTGGAGACCAGCTCCCAGAGGCCCAGGGTGCACATCCCACCCTGGAGAAGCAGAAGCGGCGGCTGAAGCTGTGCGGGAAACGGCGGAGGCAGCTCGAGCGGGGCCCTGCCGCGGAAGGCAGGAGGCGGTGGCACCGGGGGACACGCTCCGGGGCCTGCCCCGACCGTCCGCCTCGCACCCTCGGGGGCCACGGGCCACAAACGCGCTTCGTGCCTCTGGTACATCCTGAGGGAGCAGCTAAAGTGCCAGCCCTCCTCCCTGGTGGGGCAGGGAGGAGGAGAAATCTTGCTCCCAGGGCGCAAGCGAGCAGGAAACTGCACATCGCAACCCACCGACTGCCATCCCCACGCACCAGCATCAGGCCAGCGACGCCGGCAGCGAAGCAAGGGTGTGGAGCGAGAAAGCAAAGAGGGAACACAAACAAAACAATCTGTTATCTGCCCAACATCTGCACCAGCACGAGGTCGTGCCCAGGGAGCACCTGGCCATGCAACCAGGGCTGCAGGGAGCAGCATCCGCTCAGCTCCGGGTCGCGGGCTCGCGGCAGGGACCCGCGCGGGGCTCTCCTGCGCTCCGGATGCCCACGGGGCTTGCAGCAACTCACAGGCGCCGGCACGAGCACACGCAAGCGCCTCGCTGCGCGGCCTCGCGGGCGGCCGGGAACGGGGCTCTCCACACGGACGGGCATCTGCGTGGAAAATGAGCAAGCGCCCAACTTCGTACAACCGGCTTACGCCTGCGGCGGAAGCGCCCGGATCCTGGAGCACCTCCAGGCGCTTCTGGATACCACACAAACACAACCAGCAGCGGCCTGCTCTCCCCGGCAGGGTAAACAGGCGATTTTTCCTTCAGCTGGGAATAATTTTTGCTTCTGTAAAAAAGAGGTTGGCAGGGGCGGGAGGGGAAGGGACGGAGGAACTGCAAAGGTTTAGTGCACCTTAAAACTACAGGACATCTAACCTGCCCTTAGATTTCACCCCAAGACTGAAAAGAACTATGGCATCTCCTACATTCACAACTACTCCAAACACACTGAGACGCATGCAAAATGTCCTGCTTTGAGTGGGCCGCGGAAAGCTCCGCTGGGCAGCGGCGGCTGCCAGGCTGCGGCTCCGCCCCCCCGCCACCCCACCCCGGGGCCAGAGCCCCGCGAGCGCCAGCAGGCACGGCGAGGGGCTGGAGAGCAGTCCCGGATGCATAGGTAGGGCCCCTGCGGTGACACCGGCTCCCGTCGGGGCGGACGGGATGCTCCATGCACGAGTGCCCCGCGTCGCTGGGCACCGTCTCCGCTTCTACGTCTAATTGGGTGGAAAGCAGCATTTGCCACAGGCACGGCTTGATCATATGCTTGCTCCTTGCATTCCCTGCAAGGAAATAGGAGTTGTTCGGGTAAGACAGCATCTTTTCCAGCCACAGCCTCCTAGGAGTACTCAATTCCGCCTTCCGGGCGATCCAGCAGCTCAGCAATCCCTCTTCCGTGACCCGGCGCTGGCCAGGCTCACGCCTCCTTTCCGACTAAGCCAAAGCCGTAATTCCAACCACAGCTACAAAGGCAGGCAAACCCGAGGGGGCTGCTTTGGCGCAGAAACCCCGCTCGTTTGCACCATGCTGGCAGCAGCACAGTCCTCACGCGCGCACAGCGGTGTGCACCTCAGTGCTGCTCTACTTTGGAGGTATAACGACTATAGGCTGGCCTCGCTTGGGTCTCCACATGAGGACTTGGGCATCGTTGGCGTTGGGTTTCACTAGTGCATTTGGCGGGATGGGCTCCATCCTGCTCAGGATCCGGGGCTGCTCCTGCTGAGTCCTTCCCACCAGCCGTGCCCGCTGCCCCAGGAGCTGCATGGGATCAACCTCAATGTCCACTCGCATCCTCCACTTTATAGTCTGCAAGATGATCTTCTCCTTGGTGGTGGTGTTCATGGCCACCAGCCACGTGGTAAAGCTCTGGTCCCTTTTAATCCTTGTCAGCAGCGGCACGTTACTGTTGCTCACGGGGACAGCCCACGTCACGCTGGGGTAGAAATTGTCATTCATGCTCACCGAGAACCTGGAGATCTTGTTAGTGGGCCCGACCAGCGTCACGGTTTCCGTGGTGTTTCCATACCAGGGGTAGCTCACTCCATCGGAATCGCTGATGGCTTTTACTCTTCCTTCTCGCAGGTCGGGCAGCTCCCAGCTCGATCTAGAGAAGGGAAACAGAAAGGCCAGGTTATCGGGGTGACAGCGACGATGCTCGGTTAGTGCCTGCCAGGGAAGCACCGAGAGGCCGGCAGCCTGGAGCTGCTCGACACCTTTGTAAAACGCAGCGCGAGCGACTCCAACAAGGCGCTGTGCCCAACCCAGGCAGCTCCCAACGTCCATCTCTTGGGTTAACCACCAGGGCTCCTTGCTAGCAGCACAAACTCCCTCAACGCTGAGCTTGGGAGCGACTTTCCTACCTGCAGGAAGCTATCAAGGACCTCGCTCAAGAGCACATTCAGCTCCAGTTCAGCCGCAGGCAGCTGCCGCCTTCGCTGGGCCAGCACGACACTACGTTAATTAACCTGCAATCCAACCAACTGGGCCAAAACCCATTTTGGAGCCTGGC